ATAATACAATTTTGCACAAATAATGGAATGTTATGCTACTACTTATAAAAATAAAATCTGAAATCCAATAAAAGATAAGTTCTGTATAATTTTTTCAATTCACAAATGTGATTTTTCCCTCACGATAAGACAAAATGGCCCCAGTAGGTAAGGGGTTAACAACATAGTATTCAAAAATGCATAAAATACACATTAAGATTTCTTAAAAGATTTCACTCAACTTTACTGTTCTATACTGCACAGTGGGCATTCTTTAACCACAGATGCATTGTGCATGACCAACTGACTGACCGATACATGGCTTTTATGATTATTACAATTTTATAATTTTTGATGACAATGTGATTAATTACAGTAAAAAGATTATAATTTAAAACAAAGAACTTAAATATATTGAAAATTTTTATTTAGATTAAACAATGGACTAACTAGTAAGATACACTAGTGCCACAATTATCTACTGTTTCTGTTATCTGCAATTTTCTGCTTCCCCAGAACAGTGAGGATAATTGAGGCACCAGTGTATATTTACTTACTTTTACAGCAACAAATGCATGCTAATGTTCACATGATATCAACAACCATTTGATAGTATTGCATGAACTAACTGCCTTTGGTCCCATCTGAGTCTAAACACGTGCACTGATTAGTTGAATTGAGAGAAAGAAGAAAAACAAAATGGCACAAAATTAGTAATGTGTTGTGCAACCACAGCAGTTGATTCATGAAAAAACATGAAGTGCTGAATCTACCATTAAAATCAAAGAAACAAAGTTTAACTTAGGACTCAAATAACATGAAAATTTAGCTCCAGACTTCCAAGAGTCCAGAACTGTTCTAGATTCAAGTTCTATTTAGCACAGCCATACATAAAAATAAAATGTGAGAATATACTAGGCACCATGATGAAATTTTTAGCCTTGGATTTGTCAAGACCTGATATATTTATCTATCTATATATATGTTATTACACAATTTTCTCAAATTTAGCTACTGGAGAAAGAGTCTACTGTTTAATGTTCTTTGAAAAATTTTAAACACATGATTCCAATAAACCTGGTTTGTGTTATTATGTGCTGAGCCCCTAAATTAAGTTTGAAAACATTAGATCATAAAAAAATCACTAATGATTTAATAACTGGCAATGTCTGGAATTCAATTATTACCACTGGAAATAACATTTTAAGGATAGATTTGTGTTATCTGACTCACCTTCTTCGCTCTGCATCCTGTGGGTCTGTTCCAGGTAGATTGACTGTAATCGAAGAAGAAGAGGATCCCATGTTATATTTCCTTACAGGTCTCTTGCACAGTTTGATTTTAACCAGAAACTCAAAAACAGCATTGCTTACCACAGCTATTGGAGGTTGAAGAACGTTTGGAAAAAAACTGCAAAATAAAATCTGGATTATCCCAAAGAAAAGATATAAGATGCAATGATAGTTTAAAACTCCTGTATACATTTGATCTGATTTTGTGATGCATGGAAAAATGCACCTTATGATTAATTTTTGTTTCACTATTATGTACGATATTATCAAAACTACCCTAACACAGGGCTTTCTAAGTACGCTATAAATACATTTCAAAAATTCCTTTTGCATTCAGAATCAAAGTACCAAAATATTATCACCATATAAAGCAATTTTGCTGACCAGTGGTTTACATTAAGAAAACTAAACAATAATTTGTAAGCTCTAGGTACCATAAACTCAGCTCTTTCTTGTGGTTATAAACTTATCTGTTTAGCCACAGAAAGTTGGTTAGCAAACATTCTTAAATGTCAAAGAGGAGAAGAGCTTCCCTGATAGGTTTGACACATTTATTACTATCTCAGTAAATCAAGAAAGAAGGAGGTTTAAATTTTAGATCCTTGCTTGCAATTATGAATAGTATATGTTTCCTAATTAGTTAAAAACTGCAACTGTCTATTTCTGATGTAATAAAATTCTGAAATAAAAAAAAATCAGTGTTCAGACACATCAAATGACACAGAAAAATGAAGAGGAAGAATTATTTATTTTTCTTTTGGAAATTAAAATGTACTCAATATGCATGCACTAAGACAGTTGCCATCCACAGAAGTTTTGCAGTGAATCATTCTGACCAATGACTGCCATCTCTGTTGGTCAAATAGCTTTCAAACACCCTCTGATCAGTTTTCACTAATTAACAGAAATGTTGGATTTAACCTCTTGGGTAATATCTTTTATATCTTCAGTCATAACAGGTTGCAGTTGATCCCTTATATAAACACTCATTTTATCTCTTCTTTTAAAAATCTATCACTATTAAATGACTTATAACTGAAATTTCAAAATAATTAATACTATTAGTGTTCTCCAAATCTAAAAAGTTTCAGTAATTCCCATTATATGATAGCCTATCTCAACTTGAACCCTGAACTCATAATAATAGTAATTATGCTTATTTTTGAGTGTACTCTTTAGATTTGATACATGTATCTTTCAGATTATTATTTAACTTAGGCTTTCTAATCTAGAAAGTTCTCTCTGTACTTTTAATTTTATACTTGTGCTTTTTGAATAGCATTTCTCTGCACGTAGGTTTATTTATACACCTAGTTTGCAATGATCAGTAAGGTTAGTTCCTTAATTTAAGATGCACATTTATAAATCAAACATTTCATCATAAGTATGAATTCTACAATTTGCTAGTTTTAGTCTACAGAAGTGTCTATAAATTGATAAAAATTCATATACTTGAAAATATTCTCCATTTTAAGTTACAAAGCCTTTTATTATTAAGTGTATAGCAGATGATTCAATGATAAAGGTATTTAATATATAAGTATTGGGTGACTAATTAGTAATATCTGGTCAACAGAGTACCATTTAGCCCTTCAACACCCAAGTAAAAATTTAAACCCACCCTTTATTTTTCTTAAGTCCAGCCTTGCCTAGCTAGACCACATAACATTTAAGAGGAAACATGGGGCCTGTTGGTCCATCAATGCAGTTCCCCTCCATTTCAAAAAACAAACAAACAAATCCAGCCATGATAATTTAAATATCTATTAGGCATTCCTTTAAACTTCCTTAAAATTACTGCATCCACCACATCTGAAGACAACCCATTCCAAAGGCTAACCACCCTGTTAGAAAAATAAAACTGTCTTTGCTGAGGAAGATTTCTACCTGCCAAAATTTATATTTGTGCCCCATCAAAAAAAAAGATTCATTGACATTTATTTCCATAATAATAATCTGACACATTCAATCTAACTCTTCTTTTTTTCAAGAGAAAATTTCAGACATTTTAACCAATCTTCATATGACAATCTTACCATTCCAGGTATCATCCTGATAACCCTCCTTTGAACCATTTACAACAATTTAATGTCCTTCTTAAGATATGAAGCCCACAGTCAAGCAATATACTCCAAATGAGGCCTAATCAATAACCTATACCATTCCAAGTATCATCCTGATAGCCCTCCTTTGAACCATTTACAACAATTTAATGTCCTTCTTAAGATATGAAGCCCACAGTCAAGCAATATACTCCAAATGAGGCCTAATCAATAACCTATACAATGAAATGATAACCTCTTTAGACTCAGGTTTAATATTTCTGTAAACAACCCCAAAATCGAAGTTGCTCTACCACAAGCAACAGCACACTACTTGGATGGCTTAAAACACTGATGAACTTTAACTGGATTTTATTCCCATCAAAATTTAAGGCAATTTTATATTTCTAGTAGGTTGATTTAATTTGTTGAATGATATGCCATACACAGTAACAGCAGTCAGAACTTTACAGTTTAAGAAAGGAATCAGTGATTTCCTGAAAAATAAAGGTTGGTTGGATTTAATATGGAACAACAGCATCACAAAAAACATACTTAATGTATGTTTCCTAACAATCTCATTCCACCTTCAGCAAGTAGATCTAAAACATCGAGCAAAATTCAAGTAACATGAATTTGCAAGGTATGTTTAAATATTTATGTTTCTATAGGGTGAGTGTACAAGGAAAGCCTTGAAGGATCAAATAGTCTCTTCCTGTCCATATTGTTATGTTAGCCTGTCATTCCAAATCTTACACTTATGTCTTCTGATCCTATTATCTTTAGAATACAGCACAAAAAAATCACAGGCTTTTATCCTATCTACAATCCAGATTGTCATGATATAAAAGACTATTTAGTGTAGGTAGTATTAATTAATTATCTTGTGAGTTAATATTTCACGATTGTTTAATTCTTTGTTTATAATAAGAGAGTTAAAAGCAGACAATTATCAGAAGTTGTGTTTATAATTCATTGATGTTGAGGATATAGAGATTTATAGAAGGCGAGCAGAGGATTAAGTAATAAATATATAAATAGTGTGAGATGAGCAGGAACAGCAGGCAGACAGAACAGATGAGAAAGTAAAGTCACGCAAAGTAGAAGTTCAGTCAAAGAAAGTTAAACGTAAAGTTATCTGTCGTGGGAGTGAAAGGCCTAACAATTAATATGTTAAGAGTAAAACTAACAGTTTTAAAAGAGACAAGAAGTATAGTTTATTTTGTTAAAAGTGAGTTCTAAAGTAATTGAATCAGCCTGAGTGTACTTGGACAAAAGGAACAGGCGATATATGTAGTACGAGGACCAGACGATTACTGGTAGGGACGTATACGACTATGGTAACTCACTCTATATTTGTAAGTGAATTATATATGGAATATTAGTGTGATAGAAATAGAGAAATGTAGTTCAGCTTGTCAACTGAAAATCTAAAGCACTTGAATAGGCCTAAATGGATTTTTGACAAGAAGTAGAGAACTATATATAGTGTTTATGATATGTCTATGATCTCTATAGAGTAAAGAATTTGTTGTACATATGTTTCATTAGTTCAAATATATATATATTATTTTGAAAACAAGTGGAGTGCATGCTGTTCATTTATTTTTTGAATTTATCGTCAACAAGTCACAGATACCTACTGTAGAAGAATCCTTAGCCCCTCACCCATATTATTCAACCTACTTACTAAATACTACTACTATATATAATATTAAGAAGAATAAGCCCATTATTTTGACACAGATGATCTTGTAAACTTCAATACTACAGAGTTACCAACACTTATACATCCGGACCCATTCTTATGCTTACACTTATTAGTAAAAAAAAAAAATCATGTTTTAGTCAAATCAGCAGCTTTCTAACACACACATTGTGGTTGGTTGACCAGATGAAACCAGGTCAAATTCAGCATTACATTCATCCATGAAATAAACCTTTTTACTTGACCGAAAAAAAATTTTCAGGACTTGTAGTATGTTATCATGCACTGAAATTTTATTTTTTCAAGTCTCACTCAAACAGGTTCCTAAAAGTTAGCAGTCCTGTTAATATCACATCTTATTCTTTATTCTCCAAGAGAAAATAAGTTAAAGATATCTTAGTCTATCCCTATAAGATAAATTTATCATGCAGACAACACAACTGCATTGTTTAATATTTAGAAACAATAAAAGATTCACTTATCAGTCACCTGTTGCAACAATACATAAGCATGTTTCCGAAAACTTTCTTAAGTGTTTATATATAATTATGCAATTACTCCAATTCTTTATAATCAACCAAGGGAAGAAAATGAATAATCTTAAGCACTTACAAAGTGTTTCCCACTACAGAAGTAAGACTAAATGGTGTATAATTTCCATAGCAACTCTTATCTTTTCCCTTTAAAATAAGAGTAATGGCAGAAACTCTCCAATCACCAATCATCTGACCAGTCTATTGACTGATAAAAGAGAGGCTCACTTATCTGATATATGATCTTCTTTAAAACCCTGCAGTGAACATGAATTGGCTAGCCACAATGCTGGCAATACCACATTATCTTACTCTGGCTAAGTGCATGAATGATCAACTCTTCTCATGAGATTCAAAGTTGGATGAAATTGAAAACAGATACACTTTTATATGTGCTTGTATTTTGTTCGACAAATATCACTACTGGCATCTCTATTTTGAGGGGAATTGCAGCATCAAGAATTAAAAATATAAATTTTACTCATTAATATTCTTCTCTTTAAAACCATACATTTATTGCCTCAACAAGTGGCTTGATATACTACTTTAATTGTCTGTTTTATATATTTAGAAAAGGGGAACAGTTTGTGACCATTCCAGTATAAGATTAATAGAATTCTGAGTTATTGTTGTAAAAAAATTCTTTGCTTTAACAGATATTGAAAAGGAAATATAAATATTCTTGTTTTCCTCTTGGTTTTTCATCATGAATGTCTGCAGAAGAACATTTTTTTGGAGGGGGGATCTGGCATTACAATCAAAAAGAGGAGACAGAGTAATTTTCGTTGAATGATAGCATCAAATTTTTACCTAGAGATTTTTGTAAACTGGTTCAGGATTATCTGATATGTAGCATTAGAAATAAGTGATGTTGAGGCATAAAGTTTTTTGTTATACAGAATAGAAAGTTAACAAGTAAATGTTGCTACTTTAAGTTGTTAATGTTGCAGTTCTCCACTTCTTTTCTCTCAAAAATAAATAAATAAAGATTTCAAAATTAGAAGCAGTGAAATTTGCTGAACAATATAGTTTTTGGTCTGGCCTAACCTTATTTTTGTAATAATCAAGAAAATTTGGAATGTAATTCAATTCTAAATCTTGTGAAGATTGATTACTCATGTAAATAACCTAATTAAAATAAAACAGCACTACCATCAGTGACAGTAATCACTTTCAACACCATTGGCAATGTGGATAACCTTGGCAAAGAAAAAAACTGTCTGATGCATCATGTGTTTTTAATCTTTTTAATTATATGAACAGATTAATATATATAGATGATTCAGGCCAATTCCTAAATTTCCCATAGAATACTAAAGGTTCAATAGTCATTACTGCTAAATTTGGGCTGATTTTTAGTTTTGACCTAAGTTGATAGCTTGTTTTGATCAAAATATACATTTCCTATAGTTCTGCAATTCATCCAACCTATCTGTCAATTTAAATATCTTAAACTTATGGCATTTATCTTTGATTTTTCTTTTTTACATCTTTAGTAAGCCATAATGTATATTTTAGACTAAGCAAATTCAGAAATGGTACCAATTTATTACCACATAATGATTTTTATGAATCTTCTAACAGTTATATATTACTTGGGGCACTTTTTGAAAGAAATACTGCTAGCTTGTAAAGGAATATTATTACACAAAAAATTTACAATTCTCAAATTTTACTAATATACTACAGTATGTTGAAAATTAAATTAAATTGTTGTGAATTGTATTTATATTATTAAATATACTACAAAACTATGTATGTTGTTACTTTAAATAATATTTATATTTGTTTCATAAATACACTGACAACTGTATGTAAAAAAGAATAATGGTAGCAACACAATAACAGACTGTGTATTTGTACTGACTAATAATAATATCATTAGATTTTACAAGTTGGAACAAAAACACTTCAGATCAAAACAGATTATTTTATATTTATAAATTGGTTATCACCTTGCAATTGTAAAACTTTCTGCCATATCTCCCCTTGTTCCATTACTGTGATGCTGGTAAAATCTTAGGTAAGCCCAAGAAGTTAGCAGTCCTGCTGTGTGCATGACTGGGTAAGTTCCTCGGAGTAGTCCTACTAACCACAGAACCAGGCTTAAAAGCAGAACATTTAAAGGTACATTTCTATTCCTTAGTTTTCCAAGTGGAGTTGACACTAGCACGTGTTCAGGCATTATCTGCTTAACTGCAACTGCAACACCTGCACAGTATCCAGCTAACCCATGGATATGAACCAAAAATAAAAAGTTGGGGTCAGATGTAACTGTGTATAATATAATGTAATATGTTACGGACAAAAAAGCAACAAACGTATTCACAATTGCAAAGAAAGTCAACATTTCCATTGCACCCCATAGTGGTTCGATAAGTTTTCCACAAAGTCCAACAGTAATTATATCAGCAAGAACAAGCCAGAATCTATTCTCCAAGAAGCAATGTGTAAACGCTGTCCACACCCAGAAATTTGGAGGAATAATAAAACCTGGTGTTACGCTAATGGCATTCACAGCTGATTCACTGAAAGATAAAAAATAGCACAATATTACTGTAACACAAATACACTTGACTACAATACTACTATTCCCTAACGCTGCGCTGAACTGTTGCTTGATATATGGAAGATTGCGCTGAATAACTACTACAGATGCCATGTTGAACTGGACGCTGACATCACAAATGTTTTTTAGTGCTCTCTATCGGGTAGAAACAACTAAAACAATTTATACCAGAAACGTAACAATATTTTAAAGAATGTCTTCAAACATTCAATTTTAAAATGAAATAAATAAATTTTCACTAATAAATGTTTACACAGTTTCATCTACAAAAATAAATAACATATTTTAACATATCTGGCTAAGGCTCAATGTAACAAAAATCAATGACAAAACAAAATAACATTTTGGAATTACATAATGTTTAAAGTCAAAATTTACGTACTGTAACTAATCTTGCGCCAAAAACAAATAAAGGTTAAGGAGCGTGGTTACCACGAGGTTTATATAGCAGATAAAACTTCGCGGTGGTTATCTCACCTTCCACAGAAGATGTCACAGGAAAACTGTGATTTAGTGCCTTATTGTGTGTGCCCTGTTGAGAACAATTGTGTAGAGCAGAGGTTCCCAAACCTTTTTCTCTGACGACATCCTAACTCACTCTGCCACATGCAATATTTTTGTAAAATTGGTTTTATGTTAGTCTTCGTTTGGAAAGATTCTCGTGATACAGAGTTTGGAAACCACTGGTGTAGAGATTAGGAGTGTCTGTTTTAACTTCATGGAATAACTAAGGGTGAGGAGTACACTTTGTGAAAGATGAATCTAATGTGATGTCTATGCAAAGGTTGAATGTTTTGCATTAAAACGATATCAGATATACCAGTCAGTAAATCACGTGACAATCATAGCCGATATAAAGTCGTGACGGAATTGAATTTTCAGAACTATATTTTGACATTTACGTTTTATAGGTAGTGTGATGTCACCAAAGATTTATTTTTGGGGGGTAACAGCCCTATCCAATGCAAAATATTGTTACGTCTCCGTTCGTTAGTTGATTTTCCGTAACTTCGTTCCCACGAAACTTTAGCGACACAAGTCATTTCTAAATAAAACTGGTTTATTCTTTCCGAATATAACTTTACCGATACACTTATTTTCAACAGTCGCTCTATAACAAACGCTATAACAACGAACTTCAACAATACTTTCTGACTGCAGTTCAATTACTCACTACCTACACTCATTGTCCCGTCACGTTGTGAGCGTCTTATATATATACCAGACTAACATATATCTAGTAAATGCTAGGGCATTCACGAAGGAACAGGATATTTCTAGAAAATAGGTGGCGTGACACTAGTCACGTGACCTCGCTGACGCAACAATATTAATACAGCTACAGTACAAAGATGTGTTCAGATCAGGCCTTGAAATTTCCAAAATCGCATTTCCCTTATACTTACTGGCATTGGGAAACAAAGGATTATGGATCGCCCCAGATAGATTTGCAATAAGCTATACCCCAACTGTAGTAAGCAAAATCCAGCATCTTATAGTAGGTGAGAATCCATAAACACAGAAGTCAGTGGCAAAAGCCACCCACTTTACCAGCAACAGTATGCAACATAATCAAAAAGAATCTCCACCTGGAAAAAGAGACAAAAGTCATGTATACACATGTTGCTTTGATAATGTATTGCTCAATCATTAAATACCTCAAAGAGCTGGAAAATAATATGGGAATTTATGCTGTTGCATATAAAGGCATACTAGTAAAGTCGCCAGATTCACAGAACCAAGCTCAAAAGCAGAAACACTTAAATGTCAATTTCTATTCCTTAGTTTTCCAAGTGGAGTTGACTGTAGCACGTGCTCAGGCATTATCTGCTTAACTGAATTACAATCAAAGTCTTGATGCAACTGGACTGTTGAAAGAAACACTGGGAACTACTGCTCTGTAAAGATTATGGAAAACAGGAAGGATGGAATGATGGAGACTTCTCTTAATGAATATCAGAATATGTTGGAAATAGCTTGGGGTTTCACCACGTTAGGCTTGGCTCCTTCATAGTGACAGTTTGAGCTAGATGACTTAAGTAAGTATAAGACTGCTTTTAGCAAAAAAGATAAAGTGTATAAATTCTTACTGTGCCATTCACCATCTGTGGTGTACCAGCAACTTTTCAGTAGCTGATGGAGCTTATATTGACATGGCTGCAATGGTAAAATTGCTTGATTTGTCGATAATATATTTATGTTTCCAGAGATTGCAGTCATCAAAGACTGGCTCAAATCAATGTCAAAATGAAAGATCCGTAACTTGCAAGTTTTATATTGACTTTATATATTCTCTAAGACAGTTGCGTAATTTTCTGCACTGGCTGAAATTGAACTGCATTTTAGGTGGAGTGAACACTGTGATCAACCACTTCAGTCATTTCAATTTGCTTTAACTGAGGTTCTGTTGTTAGGATATCCAGGATTAGACTGTCCATTTATCCTGGATACTGCGGCCAGAGATAATGAAATCAAAGTGGCATGTCACAGTTGCACAGTAGAATAGAACGTGTTATTGTGTATACTATTTCTGCATTGGTGATTCAGAAAATGTAGATTCTGTAAGACAAAAAATAGATGCTTGACTTCGTATTCGTCAAGCCTTACCATTAAAACTTAAATAGAAGGAACTTCACCATTCATGTGAACTATGGGTCACTGATAAGTTTATGAAGATTGAGGAACAGAGTGTAGATGTACATAGCCTGTGACACTTACAAAAACAGTTAAAAGTGTATTATAATGTGATGTACTATTGTAATAAACTACTGTGTTGTGATTCTAAATCTGTGATGCAGAAAATGGTCTCAGGAGTTCTCAAACAAGAAGTTTTTCAGTTTTTGTATAATGCAATGACTGGTTGCCACAGGGCGTTTCCCCAACTTGTGATAACCCATGAAAGCAATGTTTGTGACCACAATCACATCAAGGTTTTGAGTGATGGTGCAAACACTGTATTGTGTGTGTGCTGCCCAGAGTAAAAATTAGCTAAACTTGGTTAAAGTCTGACAGAGAGCTATAGGTTCTCCATTACGGAGAATAACCTTGAATATAGCTGGCTCTCTTCTAGAGACCAAATGATGTAATTTGCATGTACTGTCAACTACTTCAACAATTTAGCTAAGTTATTCATTGGTTGATATTTTAGCACAGTCCATTGCTGATATGTTTGCTGAACAATGAATAGTATGATTTTGTTCACCCGAAGAAATTCATATACAAAAAGCGAGTAATTTCACAGCCAATTATAACTATTTGCAGAGTTGTGTAAGAGCTAGGTGTGGAAAAGATATAAGCTATGCTCCGTCAGCTGCAATCTGATGATTTTGCGAACAGGTAATTTTTACTATCGAAAGGATGCTTGCACAGTTTGATAATCATGATTGAATCGTCTAGGATTAACACTGCCATATGCGTTAATGGCACATTGTGCAACAAAACCAAGATTGGTTGGTCATTTATCAGACTTTTTAATGTTTAGCCAAGAAATATAGTTTCCTGTAGAAGTGATGTATGGTCCATCAATATAACAGATGTAACACATTTATTACAGAGATGTGTGAAAGTGATTGAGATCTATACTAGTTGTTAAACATTAACCTTAACATCAGCAGCTAGATAAAGCTTATTATAGCAGAAGAAATGCTATGATAAAATAGTAAAGGAAAAGAGAGACAGGGTATGGTAAAAGTACATGCCAGTGGCATGGATGCAATTCAGTTCCAGCTGTACTGACTCTTATCTCATTCTTAAAAACTCAATCTACCAAGCAGTATTTCACAAGATTTGCATTGTGCATGTTAAAAACATTGACAAGCTAAAGTTTCAAGTGCTGGTTAGATAACAAACAGAGATGTAAATTAATGAGTAAGAGGAGAGTGAGGGCCATGTTATGTATAGTCTTGATCTAAGCTAATGAGGAAGAAGATTGTCAAAGTACTTATTGGCAGTTTGAGAAGTGTCAGATGACATGCTTGGTGATAAACCAGATGTCGACACTGACCTCCTGATCATTTTGGTTAGGAATATCTGCCTGACCAGCATTTAGATTGGTTGGTTGACCAGTATAGAATAAAAGCCAAAAGAAAGTGTCTTTCTTTACTTTTCGAGCTATCAAGTGGTATTTTATGGTAGTTTGTCTACAGGACATTGTGTAATTATAATTTTATTATTGCATAGTTATGATACCTGATATGTTGCCTAGAACAATGACAGTCTGGCTAACTGGAAGTTGTCAATTTTCATACAACAGGCCTTTTTTAAATATGCCTACTACAGAAACCCTCTATATCACAAACAATGGCTATTAACTTTCTTCACATGGGCATGGTCCATTTTGACGGACCATATGACCTTTTTGTACGATTACATTTTCATATAGTGTTTATATTTTCACGAACTTTAGCAGTCTTTAGTAAACGTTATAAGCCTTTCACAATTTGATTGACCTCGTAACCACCAAAAAAATCGCAATAAATCTATATTACTCTCCTTTCTATTCTAGAATGACTTCAAATGTAACGTGAAACTACATTCGTTTATCCTAAGTAGCTTTAAACTCATAACAGTATACATCTATTTATAATTACATTTTATTGTTTTATTGCCCTAGGTAAATTGAACAACAATAATAATATAATAAAAATATTTCACGAGGCACGCATGCAAGCAGCTCAGAGTAGCTCATGGGTAATGTAATTGGATAGGTAACGTGAGCTGCACATTCCCCAAGTGATTTACATCTTATAATGGCGCGAACAATGGTCAATCCCACTATTTGTTGGTAAAAGAATAGCTCAAGAGTGGGCGGTGGGTGGTGATAACTAGCTGCCTTTCCTCTAGTCTTTCACTGCTAAATTAGGTATGGCTAGTGCAGATAGCCCTCATGTAGCTTTGCTAGAAATTCACAACAACAACCAACCAAATCTCTCTCATGTTTAATTATATATTACCAGTAGAAAGTCAAGGCTTTCATTGATCAAATGAGGCATTGTATAAAGTTATGTTCTGAACAAATTTCACTCAGAGTACAAGATCCATTCCCGTGGGAAAATTAATGACTAGCTTGGATGCATTTGTAACGGCTCTTGTTAGA